GCCTGCTCCCCAAAATTACAACCACAGATATGTCACAGGGGAAGGAGTACTCTACAGATCAGAACAACTAGCTCTTTTTGTAAATATTTAAAAGAAGATTTGTACATATATTTTCCTTCACTTCACAATCAACTAATTTTAGATACCAGGAAACCAAGGTAATCCTTCCCTGTTACCTCCAGTATATTTTACTTATAAAAGAAATAACTTGTGTCACCTCCCAGAATTGCCAGTGACCTACACAGACTGTAAGTAGTATTTATCCTCTGAACAGGAGAGTAGAAGATGAAAAAAACCCTTCCCAAAACAAAAAGCAACCCCCCGACCCAAACAAACAAAAAGTAAATATATTCCAAAATATATCCTCAAATATCAAGTACAAATCTGGGTGCTCAAACCACGGCTGCTCTGACAAAGCTCTGGGTTTACTCTGTCCTGCACCGGAAGGGACGTGAGCAGCTCAGACCGATAAACAGGTCTTTTTAGCATTGGAAAAGAGGTGGTTTATGCACAAACAACTGGCAATCAAGTGAACATAGGGAAGATTCAAACTCATGCTACAAACCCGTGCTGTATTCCTCCAGAAGCATTTCTTCCAAATGCCTCAGCGAGCAGTCTCCTTGGAGGGGTTCTGATGGTCGTGTAACCGCGCTGCTCCACACAGCAGACTAGAAAGAGAACTCGTCTCTCAACACATAGCAAAACACTGGCATGAACAAGTAATTACCATGGCTATTAATTTCTAATTCATTTTTATACCATAGTGAACCTGATGGAGGTTTCTCCGCCAGGTACCATATTTCTAACCTAAAGTATTTCCGCAAAACTAAAGTCCCATAGTTTTGCAAGCAGCAAAAGAGAAAGTAACAAAGTTGTGTCTAATTGGAGGAGAAATATACATTCGTGAGAGCACATACCATTAGTGCAACACAGCTACTCTGAAAGTAACGAACCAAACCAGATTAATCAATGCAGCAGACATGCAGGGTCTGCTAAGTTATGTTAAAACCATGTTTGCTGGTGATTAAATATGTCTACAGAAGATATATTACCATTTTGAATATATTTTCAAGCAGACCAAAAATACCTCATCTATTGGTTACTGGTGTGTTATTTTTAACTAATTAAATATTGGGAGGGATTGTACCCCTCTCGCTATAAAAATTGCACTTATTTTCTATTAAACAAAACAAAAAGTTAGATTTCAATTCTATATTCCAGTATATATTCACATTGAAACTGGATCGTCTTGATCTAAGCTTGCAGGAGTAGGTGTAGCCGTCCTTGCTCTCCAAGATCCCCAGCACAGAAGGTCCCATCAGTACAAACCCCTCCTTCCTCTGTGCTCTGGTCACTTCTTCATCGTAGTGCATGGGTAATTGATTTTATTTTTTGTAAGAAAACCTGAGCTTCAAAAGTCTTTAAAAGGACCTGGAATCAAATCTGGCCCATTCTGACCCAAAACAGCTCAGTTCTGCAAGGAACTCCATCCTGTCCTCGTTTCACACAGCTCCTCCTGAGACACCACGGCTCTGACCTGAGGCGAGTGAGGTGTCAAACCCTTTCCCTCCAGTCTCTCTTGACCCAGGAGACTTTGCTCCTGGCACACTTCCGAGGGCTCCTTCTTCCCTCCCTTTAGCACTGCTGCCTCCTATAGGGCTTTGAAGGGCTCCCTGTGCCAATAAAAAAGTCTCTCTGCAATAAGCATGACTTCTTGGACACCGGTGATCAACTTCCTCTTGCAAAGTCTTCTCCAGCTCATAAAATGTCATCGTAATCCAATAGTTTAGAGTGCTGGCGGGTCTTCCAGAGGCGGTAAAGGCGGAAGTCAAAGTAAGTCTCAATCATTTGCTTACCTAGGAGAAGTGAAACGAAGCAGAGGGGTTACACCCTGCAGCACAAGGGAGAGACGCGAGAGGCCGCAGCTGCAAAAAGACCCCAACCCACCTACAGGCAGGGGCACAGGAGAACCCGTCCATATGCCTCATTTGGAAAATACCGACGTTCAGCCAGGGCACGTGAAGGTGCCCGTGAAAAGCAAACGTCTTTTTAGATCTCCTCAAACCACGAAAGGCTCCTTAATAATCCCCTGGCAGGGTTTGTCCAAGGGGGCAGGAACTGAACACAAAGTCGGTCTCCAGACTTTGACCTCTCTGCACTGACTGCAGAAGTGGGGGCCGGGGGCTGTAGAGTATCAGACAACAGCTCCAGCAGCCTGCACGAGGCAACCTGGCACAGGGACTTCAGAAAAGTACAAATCAAGAGTAAACTCATTGTAAAGATTTGTGGGAAACATCACAAATAGTTAACACTGAAAATTCAAAATAGATTTTTTTTTTTTTGAAAATTAATGTTAACAGGCTGTCTCTGTCCTGCAGAGCTGCATCTTCTCACAGCAATGAGCTCAACAGGACACACTAATGCAAGTTCTGCCCCACTGGCACCTCTGATTGAAGGTGGGGGGGTCTCACAAGGCAGTCACAGACTGAAAGCCATGCACAGGGCTGGCACTGGAGGCAGCCAGTGCATTTGAAAACACAAAGGCAAACTGGACTCAGACAGGGCTCAAGGAGTGGATTTTCGCTTTTGAGGCCTGATTAAGATTAGTTTCAGATGACTTTGCAAAGGATTAGAGAGGGTACGCTATTAGCGCGTCCCAGATTGATCAAGGGGATAAATTCAGACGTATTCTTCAGCCCAGCCTCCTGAAAGATCAACTGCTTAAATGCATGCGCACAGAACCCGCTGCCTTGCCTGCCAAGCTGCATATAAACCCAGGAATTTCCCTGCAAGTTGCTTCTTGGCACACAGGTATGAGCATGTTCGCTGTGGGATCTGTGCAAGCACTGTATAAAGCTGGGTCCAAACCTCGACAGGACGTGCACAGAGAACTCTGTGCAGCATGAATGTGCTCAGCTCCCGTACATTCCTATGACAATAAGTGAGAGTTAAGAACAACCCGTCAGTGCTGATGCCAGCTGTGAGCAGCAGAGGAACTATCCACAGCGCTTATAGCCTAATGCTGCATGTTTTTATCTTCCAAGAGAACCAAGTACCAAGGACTACAGCAAAGATAAAACAAGGGCAACTTCAGGATAAGTCGACTATATGTCACTTATGAAACTGCACCCACAATTACTTAGATTGACCAAAAAATAGGAAAAATTCTATAGCCCTTTGTAATAACTTGAGCTACAGGCAGGAAAAAGCAAAGCGGACCGAGATATAGAATGGCTATAATGGGCTACATCCCAGGTGCTTGTTGATGACACAGCTCACTCGGTACCCGTAAGAGATCCCTCCACACTTGGTTACGGAAAAGATTCTGCTCCCGTGTGCATCTCTCCCATGGACTTCATATGCTCTAGTAATATGACGAATCTCCTAAACTCAGCCTGGAAAGCAGCTTATTATTCAGGCTACTTTGCCACTGCCAGTAGCCTGGGAGAGGGCTCTGCAGCTTCAGGCACAACAAACGGGATAGCTGAAAGGTGAACATGGAGGAACTGCAAGGGAAAACCCAGGTTCAGCAAGCGAACTACACAAGGTGGTTACAAGCAAAAGGATGACCATGGCAGGGCTTAAGGGAGCTCAAAATTGCTTTTTCATTAAGATGCCCACTGAAGGAGGCAGGCTGATCAAGACGACGTGTGTCTTTGTACAGAAAATAAATTACCTTGAGCTGATAGTTCAAGTGGAGACTCAAAGGCAACCCTATAAGGATTCATTAAGTTTTTCAGATTCTGAAATAGCTGAAAGGAAAACATATCGAGAGTTAGCAGCTGAAAACAAAGATGAACTCCAGGGCACCCAGAATTGCCCATCCTTGTTCCCTACCTCTAAAAAACCTTCCACTACATGTCCTTTAAAACATCTAGCTCATCAGTAAATAAAGTGCTTTGAATGACTGTTCCCCCTAAAGGCTCCAGTATCTATCCCTTCCTGCACGTCACTTATCATTCCTCCGCTGCCCTCTGGGGAAAGCACAATCCATAGGGTGGTTTGACAATTCACAGCCACCCATGGGACAGGATGGCAGCATGTTTCCACACAGCAGAAGAGGAAGGTTTGAGTCACAGTGTGACTCTTGACTCCCTGGGCTTGGTGCTACTCAGCAGACATTCCCAGAGAGGCGAACCAGGAAGCTCTTACCTTCTCCCCATTGGGGTTTCCAAGAACATAGCAGCCCATGATGTGAATGATATTTGGTTCAGGATTGACTTTACTCATCAGCCGGCTCAACCTCTTCCAGAAGCTGGAAGAAACAGGAAAAAACCAGAATACATAATTAAAAAAAAAAAACGCCAAACAAAAAACTATCTCCTCATATTCATGAGTAATCACAAGGATGTATGTGCACACACTGCTCAGAAGGGGCCTGAGGCTTGTAGCCTGAGGAGCAAGCTGCTCTGGAAGAGCCATCGGTTCTTAGACAAGGAAGAGCAGGGGCAGAGCAAGGGCCTGAGGAGCAGGTCCAGGTCACGTGGTAGAGAAGGAGGAGCAGCCCATTGAGCCAAGGAAGCTCCAAGGTAAAGAGAAGGGAGCAAAGTCCACCAGTGCTTTTAGAGTGACAGTTTTACTAAGCATCCTCTTTTTATAGCAGTTCCCTCCAGTTTCCTCTCTCCCATTTCTATCAATGATTGCCCTTTCTAAATATGAGTGTTATCAGGGCACTGGTTCATATCCAGGGCATGAAATCAGCAGAGAACAGCTGGAGAGGTTGTTCTACATAGGTACAGAGACACCACCAACCAGGCTGTTCCATGTTAGCCAGTGCTCGGTGCTGCTCACCAGTCAGACCCGCTTTACGTTTTGTGACTACTGACCAGGCACACTGTGCCTAAGGGACATGAAAATACAACAATATCCCCTGTGCAGTGGGTTAGAGCAGACTTCTGGAGGGCTCTAAAGCCCAGCAGTTCCTCTGTGGGGTCTGCGATCGGATTGCAATGCAAGCTTTTCTCAGGACTCCCTCCCAGGGATGGTTGGATGGACACATTCACTTCCAAGCATCCAAGTTTTCAGCTGTGTGTTCACAGCTTTCTGAAGGTTTCTGAATTACCAACTTCGGACCAGCTATGCCTGGAAGGCGTTCAGAAGCATGTATGTGCACACATGCCTAAGAATTTTATTGACAGTGTTTGTGCCAGAGCATGAGAGCGCTGAACAGATGTTGATTTTAATACTCAGTTCTCATGCCAACAAAAAGTTGTGTAGAAACAGGTTGGTATGCATCCTCTCCCCCACAACGAAGCACTGTTAGCCAAGTAGGTTTGAGCCAGCACAAGCGAGCAGGCAGCAAAACAGGCGAAGCTTAACTTTCTGCAAGGAGAAGCAAAATTGCCTCAGCAGCAACCCTGGCTGACAGGCTGGCATGTTAGTGAAAACCCTCCTCAGTAACGTGCTGGACTTTGAGCAGGCTTTGCAGAAACAAATTCCATTTCCCCCTGCAATTAGGAGGGCAGTTACTGGAGACAGCTGTGGGGGGGACGGTTAGGATTTCTGCCACTAGTCGCCTGCTTAGCCGCTTCTGAGCAACAGAGGCACGAGGTGCATGTTCTGGTTTCTGGTCAGCAAAGCCTGTGTTAGGAGAGGAAATATTTTTTTTTTCCCTCTTTTGATAGTCTCTAGTCCAGAGAGACACTAAACAGCAGATAAAAGCATAAATCTCCTGGTGACCTGTCACAGGGCCACACCACCCCAGGGATGAGCTCGGCTCTGTCATCTTTGCAACCCCCCATGAAGGAGCTGTAAGCTGCTATTAGGTTCTCCTTCAGCCTCCTCTTCCTCTGACCAAGCCACCCCAGCTCCCTCCACCTCTTCTTCTAGGCCATGTGCTACAAACATTGAGCAAACCGAGCAGAAAAATGCTACGCGAGTCCAGAACATAACGCAGCCACTCACAGGATCATATCTTCCTCCTTCTCCACTTTTGCAAAAGTGGCAACTTTGTTCTTTAACAAGTATAAGTGACCAGGACCTCCCTGCAAGAGAGAGACAGACAAATGCAAACCACTTTGCACGGGCCCTGAAGAAACAAACCCTGGATGTGTTCCTTGTCCTGCACAGGCATACCCAGAAGTGCCACGAGGGAGCAGAGCAGACACGCCAGCCTGGCACGGCTGTTACAACCTCCATAGCAGACACCGCAGGCACTTGCCAAGGAAATATTCACACACGGAGAGTATGTTGGGGGTTGGATTCTCCAGTTTTTACTGTTATATACCCACCTCACTCTAGAAAAGCACAATAATAAACAAAAATCTTCATTGTGGGTGGCTGGAGAGTAATAGGGAAGACAAGAAAGTCCCTTTCATTTGGGGATGCTAGGGGACTTGCCGTGGTAGGCAGACGAGAAGCTGAGCAAAGCAGGGATAAGCAGGCAAGACATCACTGTAGAAGAACTGGACTTTCGCAGTAGCAGGCATAAAAAGATTGAGCACAACATCAGGGAAATTAAGAGTTGCAATCTCCAGGTCAGTGTGCTGCAAACCCTGCTATTTTGCAGCATTAGGCACGTGGGAGGGAGTTCAAGTTAGGTTACCTTCCTAACTTCTCATTTCAAGGTTCCTTGCACGGCTGCCGGGGGAGTCCAAAGCTGACCACCCTGAGGAACAAGAGACTTGGGAAGGAAATCCCCAGGAAGCCCCAGATCCAGCAGGGCCTGAATCTGTCCCACCCACAGCTCGGCAAGCCTGTACCCTGATCCCTCTCCTGCGTAAGCTGGCCTCCAGCTCCGAGCTGTGCCATCTGCCGGTCTGATCCACAACACCCACCACTGTCACTGTCATACTGAAGCTGTATGAAAACTATAACCATCACACTGCAAATGCTTCTTCCTTTCTCTGAAATCCTCCTTTTGAGGTCTGTGCTAATGCTGGTTTGCCTGGGCTTCCTTGAAAGCAGCTGAGAAGCAGCCCAGCTCTGGAGTTGGCCACACTAAATCAGAATTTACTTCCTGCTGCCACAGCAACTTGAGACTGCTCATTGTCTGGGGAAATGAGAAGTGAAAGCCGTACACATGCAGTTACTTTACCAGAACCTGACTTTGGAGTATTGGTTCCTCTATGTAATTTTCCCCTGTAGAAAAAGACAAATTTGTAACAAACCACCCAAGTGCTTAACAACTTTCATGTACCTGGCAAAATATCAGCATCTTCCAGATTTTGCAGCCTTTCCGATAAATGTTAAGCTTCTTCTCTATTTCCTCTGCAAAAAACACGTTGGAAAAGATGAACCATGGAGGAAGTTAAAAATTCATCTTATTTCTTCTCACTTTAGTCCTGAAGGCAGGAGGCTGAGCTGTGAGAGGTGCTCAGCACCTACATTCCCACTGACGTCAAAGCAAAACGTTTGCTTTCATGCTGTGGAAAGCAGGAAACCCCAGCATATCACAGGGCAAGAGAAGGTATGGTGCAGCACCAGACACTGCTCTATAGTGACCACAGCACGGTACCAGACCCAGCTGTCCTGACCCTCTGTTAATGCTCCTACTCACCTACACGGGTACGATGAACAGGCGTCTTTGCTGCCCTGTGCCTCAGCTTCCCTTTCATAAACCGGGAGCTTGGCATAGAAAATGGGCTACAGAAGTGAAGTTTTATTACTGCAGCACATTCAACAGCACCTGACTGACTGTCAGGTGTCACTGGGGTGATAAAAACACCTTTATGAGTGGCAGCTGAGGCACAGGGTAGTGGAGCGACTGTAACATATTGATCAGTTACGTTTGCAACGGGCAGGAGTTAAGAAAAGGAAATAACACTCACATACCTAGGATGTCATCAAAGGTGGCATGTTCATGGTCCTGGAAACCAAGAGAGAAGACATATCAAGGTTCACTGTCACTACACCAGCTCCCATGACGTTATTATAGTCTTGAATATTGCACACAATCCCATTCCCAGGCAAACATGCTCTAAGAGCACAATTATACCCGCTGATGGCTTCTAGTCACATCACAGTAATTACCACCCTAAAACATGTCTCAGCAAAGAAGCTGAAGACTGAATGGTCCATGAAGACCAAGTCCATCCAAAGGCTTGAAGATGAATCCTACAGGCAAGTCCAAAGCACATACCATCAGATGTAGTCAGCATCAGCAATGCGTATTTGCCTCTTGGCCCATGTTTTGTAGCCAACCTCTGGCTTTACATGCGTCCAAGCTGGCTAACAAACAGCCACGCTCCCGACACATCTGCCTCTGGCATAGCAGGGTCATCAGGACAACCATACAACTCTCAAAGGAAGAGAGAGGCAGCAAAGCTAAACCCCCCAGCAGCACTGCCTGCTGCACATGGAGACTGCATTTTCTGGGCTGTCAGTCCAACCCTTCCCTTTCAAATTAAGTGGATATAAAGTGATTAGGAAAAAGAGACCCACGACTCCTTGCTGGTGTTTCAGACACCTGCTCAGGCAGGACTCCTAGTGAAAAATCAAGGTTAAATTCATGACTGACAGGGATGCACCACTGTACATAGGGTGATGGGGTTCACGGTCCACTGCAGAGCTCTGAGGTCCTGCTCATTCTGTCTAAGGATGAGTGTAAGGAGGAGCCCTAAGCCTGGCAACACGCGGCTCTGCTTGTGTGCTCAGGCCTGCCCTGCCTTCCCTTGTTAACCTTCCCAGGCTGCCTGGCTGTGCCTGCATAGTCTGGCAGCCCACATGCAATTTTCACTCCACCTTACTCTTCCACCTAGACCTGAGCCCCCACAAAGCTACCCAGACCCCAAATCTGGGTTCAGCACACCCCCAGCCCTTTCCTGACAGCTTTTCCAAATCACATCAGTGTTTCAGAATCACCATAACAGGAACTGGGGACCAAAAAAAAAAAAAAATTCTCTGTATGAAGCCTGCTCCCACACATCCAGACATAGCAGAAGAGATATACTTACATAGAGAATGGGGATGATAGAGGGATCGTCCCTGCGGATAATTGTCGGGACATACTCTGCTTTGGGCACCTTGGAAGAAATGAGCTGGAAGGGGGGAAAAGAAAAAAAAGTGCAACAGGATGAGGAGAAGCCAGTAAAGTCTGGACAGAAGCACAAAGGCCATGATAACAGTGTCCTGTTCAGTTGCTCTCAGGTGTTACCCCAACTAGCAGCTAATCCAGCCTATCTGCATCCCTGTGGGAAGGTCCTCCAAGCCTTTGGTCCACTACAGAGCATCCCCAGGCCTGCCAAGTACCCCCGTGTGTCACAGTCTCCCCGACTCCCAACAAACGAGCACACAGCTCTGCCCAAAAGGCAGGACTGAGTCTGAGTTGACAGTTTGTAAAGGGGAGACCCGTGTGCACAGAGGATGAAGCAGCTTGTGCATCACCATGAATGGCTGTATCCCAGTAAAGATCGCTTCTGAACAGCCCTCCTCTGTGTGAGGGTCTGTGCTTCTGGCTGCAGAGGACTGTTCGAACTGGCACGCTCAGCTGGCCGGTGGTGGGACGGCTGCATGCCTTAACAGGAACCAGCCAAGGGATAAAATGGCATCAGGCGCAGGTAGGCACACAGCCGTAGGATGTCAGGCAGATGCAGGTTGCCTGGCAACTCTGGCTGAAGCTTCAGCCGGCTCCATCAGCATGACAGCCCGAGAGGATGGGCCTGCCACCAGCACAAGGCAAAGGGCTATGGGAACACAGGCAATTTGGCTATGCTGTGGTTTCAGGCACCTCTGCTCATCACTGTGAGAGTGGAGCAGGCAGCGGTGCTGGTGGGCCTCTAAGTGCAGCCTGGATTCCAGCTTGGGCTGCCTTCAAAGCCCTCCCTCCTGGCAGGCAACACATCGCTGCTTCGGCCACATGGGAGTTAATGTAAAGTTTCTGAAGAGGCACAATGTACAGAGTCCAGGGATGGACACTCCTCACCTGGGGAGACACACTGGAGGTGACAAGGGCTGAGCAAACCCAAGTGTTGGTTCCTAGTGTTTGGGTCTCACCTTGTCACTTTGCCCCGAGAGTGCTTCAGGGCTGAGACTGCACAGACAGCCTGGCAACACATATAAAAGCAGACTGTCTCCATGTCCTTCACTCTTCCCAAGTCTTAGCAGGACCCATTCAAACACAGTACTGCTGTGCTGGACTGGCAATGCTGCCCTGAGAACAAGCTGGAAGCTTGAGACCCCATTTTGCCCAAGTACTTGTGCATGCGGCCGAAGAAGGGATGTGTCAGAACCTGGTCCTGTCTGCCAAACCCCACAGAGCAGAGCAGGGGGGAGCGCAGGGGGAAGTCTAGCATCAAGGAATGATAAAAGAGCAGAAAACATCTCAAGGGATGACATATGGCTCCTGTCCTGGTTTCGGCTGGGATAGAGTTAATTTTCTTCCTAGGACCTGGTACAGTGCTGTGTTTTGGATTTAGCATGAGAATAATGTTGATAACACAACAATGTTTTAGTTGTTGCTGAGCAGGGCTTCTAGTCAAGGACTTTTCAGCTTCCCATGCTCTACCGACTGAGCAGGCTGGAGGTGCACAAGAAGCCGGGAGGGGGCACAGCCAGGACAGCTGACCCCAACTGGCCACAGGGACATTCCATACCATGGGACGTCATGCTCAGTACAGAAACTGGGGAAAGCTGGCCGGGGGGGCTGCTGCTCGCTGGGCATCGGTCGGCGGGTGGTGAGCAATTGCATCGTGCATCACTTGCTTTGTATATTAATTATTATTATTTTATTCCATTTCAATTATTAAACTGTTTTTATCTCAACCCACGAGTTTTCTCACTTTTACTCTTCCAATTCTCTCCCCCATCCCACCGGGAGGCAGGGGGGGAGGCGGGGTGAGCAAGCGGCTGCGTGGTGCTCAGTTGCTGACTGACGTTAAACCACGACAGTCCTTTTTGGCGCCCAACGTGGGGCATGAAGGGTTTAAGATAACAGCAGATTAACCAGAGCGCTTTAAGGAATTTATATCTGTTAACAGTTGCGGGTCACAATGTTGGTTCATCTGTTCTCGATATTGGTTTGTCTAATCTGCATCATGCTCTTTTTTTTGCTGTACATGTTAAAGATTGGTGTTGGGTTTTGCAGTTTGCTGTGGTCTGCAGTG